AAAACACAAAGGGAATGAACACTAGGCAGGAAGACGTGTAATTGTTCTTCCCTTATGTCAGTATAATTCCAACATTTGCCGGTACGGTGATCATGACACCGCTAACAATAAACAGACACAGAAGTTACAAGTTAGTGAGAGCGCATTTAGTGGCACACTGACACTGGGTTGCTAGGATACAGGGGGAGGCGTCGCGACGCTTCTGCGCTGTACTGTACTACACAGGTGTGGGTGTTGTACGTGTTGTACTTGAGTTAGTACGGCTTGTCACTCGTCTTGTATCGTTGGAATATGTGTTCTTAACAATGTGGACATTAGTAGTAGAAAGAGGGACCTAATAGGACAAGCAGTCTTAGAAAACTATTTGGGACTTGGGAACATAAATCTCTTAACAAACACAGACTCACAACTGATATATTTACCTTAAGTTTTACCAACTTAGTTTATCTGTTCTAATTGGATTGCTTGAAGCAGTATATTTTCTATGATAACTACCAATTACGTATTAACATGTAAAGTAATTACGTTTAAGGAAATCAGCAATTACCTGTTCTCGAGGATGAATTAGCAATTTAGTTTGTCGACAATTTAAATTCAACGTAAACTATTAAAAAGTGTGCTAATTGGAACGATGAAGTGATTCCCAATTAGGTCTAATATAGTTCTTCGAATGTAGTGTTTCTATGTAAATTTGGCCTCCCCGTGTATTCTATCATCAAGAAACTAATTATCATGAGTAAATTCTGAAACTGTACAAGTCTGTACTTCCAACGTTGTAAACGGTGTCAAACATAATCGAGATGAAACGCACATCAACATAACTGATAGCTAGCGAACCCACGAGTTCTCAACTTATAAACAACCTGTTTAATAGTTAATCGGAGTTAACTAGCACTACGAGTGCTAACCGTAGTTTGACAACACCGCGCTCCCACAGACCTGGAGGCCAGTGGCGCCGCTAGTGGCAACATAAATCATGAGGGACCGCGTATAAAACACAATATCCTCCTATGTCAGCATAAATAACAAGGCCGTGACGCGCGAAGAATAACCGGCGACTGAAAAATGTCGTAATATCTTGTTCGCGGGAGCGGGACATTTCTTAATCCTCTCCTGCCGTGGTAATGTGTCGTCTGTCGGCGGAGGGGACGGGGCGAGGACATAAATAATACAGGATAATGCCGGGTACGTCCGGAGCAATAAATACCGTGTCGGCGAATAAAAACAGCTACCGGACCGCGCTTATATAGATATATATAACCGGAATGTATACCCGCTAATGAACTGTCGCCGGATCCGACCCACTTGCAGGGGCGAGTCTTATCGTGACACAAATGCGGTATGAATGTCGAGATAAATGTGAACTTTTAAAAGGAAACGTTAAATCAGCCGGCAGATTTATCGAGTCCATTTTCCCGAGGCCTATCGAATTCGGGTTTAAATTATCGCTGACAGGTGGTCGTTATTTGGCGTGATTGCGATACCAGTTATTTACGAGGCGGGTTCGTCATAACTCAGAGCTGTGACCAATTAACACTCCCCTTCACACTGCGAGGCTGTGGCGGGTCTGGCGATGGATGGCTCACTCAGGGGTTGTGGGTTAAACCTTTGACTACAGTCCATCCTCGTGTTAAATGATTGCCAGCCTGAGAATAAGAAAGAACTTAAATCAATTGATCGTGATTGGACATTGAGTGCTGTCGTCAAAGACTTCTTTCACGCCAAACTAAAAGAGCAGCTTATAGTGAACTAGAGGATCTTTTAGCTCCTCCACCATCTTAGTATTATGAATTATAATAGACAATGTAGTCTTGTATATTCTGTGAGATTCGTTGAAATTTGTATAACACCTGGACTTGTATTTAAATTAAATTTTGCACTAATATTCTTCAAACAGTTCTAAGCAGTGGCGGTTACAAGGGGGGGGGGGGCTACAGGGGCTAAACCCACCCCCCTTGGACTCTGTAAAAATAAATGTAAACATACATTTTGTCCTTAAAACACCCAATGTTATAAAATAGACATCAATATAGTTTTTATTAAACTAAATAAGCGATGGCAAGAGTAGTATTAAGTTCCCACATGGATACACTTTGTGGGGCACGACGAATAAAACAATATTACGCACAGTTTTAGGTGTTAAAAATGGCTTTAGAAAGTCACCAAAAAGCTTTGAAAATTCTAAATCTTTCAAGGATCCTCCCCCGGGTGGCTCCACACCCTCCAAACCCCTCGGTGGCCCCCTCATTGACAAGGTCCTAGAGCCACCACTGGTCCTAAGCCAGTCATAAAACCGTTCTGAACGCAGAAAAGATAAGGAATTCATTAATCACTTTGTTTGTTTGTCAATCCATCAATATGTGTTATGTAAAACTGTTTCCTCATCAGAATGTGGGCATATTCACAGTACTCATACGGTGGCCAAAAATATTGTGGGGCTTTAAACAATTTCACTTTATATAGAATAATTTACCTACGAATTTGTTTGAAATGTGAATTACAAACAAATATTTATATCAACTACCATATTTCAATTTATTTTAGTGAGAAATTGCCATTCAGTTTAGAAGACATAGTGAATTTTTAATTCACCACACACAGTCGTTATTTTTAAACTAATCAACTTGGTAAAGTCTGAAGAATGATTAATCTGAAGATGAATCACAAATTATCCGTCCAATTTGGAGAGAGCAACACCATAAGTTACTCCAACAAAGCTATCTTGATCCTCGGGCTCACATGAAGTGACAAGCTTTTCACCTTGGATGAAGTTTTATGGACAGAAGGTGGGGAAAGTTACCCATGTCCGAGCCTCACAACACACAACACGTTCCCACTTGATAACTATCTAAATTTGCTATTATCATGTAAATATTCATCAACGTTTCTACACAGTTGTTAATTTATTTTATCAGGCTAATCTTTGTTTAGTTTGTGCGGAGAAAACTGGACACATTTGTCTGGTTTTTGGGTCAGGGTTTGATGAATTATTTATACACGTAACCTTTAATTATGTTTAGAAGTGTCCTTTTAGATACCAGGTTTATTAGGATGTTTTTAAAACCGGTGGAATTCGCTTTTTGCACTAAAAGAATGTTGATTTAATAAGATCTCAAACTGTAATGGCTACTAACTAATTGGCGAATGAAAATAAACTATGAAAAATAAAACCTCTCACTTACTCTTCGAGTTAAAATGTCGATTGTCTTACTTATTTATTTCTGACTTCTATTTATCTGATTTCTTTATATCGATGACTACGTCATTCACAAAATATAAGAGAAATCTATAAAATACATACAAGGTGTTTAATTGGATGACTCGTTGCAAAATGAACTTGTATAGTGGAAAATAGTTACATCATGTCAGAGCTGTAACTAAATCTATTTTATACTATACTGGCCTGAAGAAACACTACGGTCTAGCAAGACCGGTCATTTAGTGATTTTAAACATGTTTAATCAATTTGTAAATGTAGCTCAACATATAAAAATAAAAAGAGTTAAATCTGTAGTAAGCACCAATGTATTGTTTAGAAGATGTACTGCTAAACTACAGCGTTATGAATCTTATACATGTACGCGATAACAAATCAAATGTTTAATGCGGTTATTCACATGTACTGTTCAAATATTTGTAAAAAGGCAAAACTGAAGATTCACCTCAAGCTAGTAAAACAACCATAATACAATTTGGAGAGTTAAATCAAAACGATTGTTGCACAAATGTTCAAGCCACATTAAACGTACAATTTTCTCCGAAAGGTGTTTTATGGGAGTGATAAATAATACAGAACTGGGTAACGTTTATTTCTGGTTCACAAACCCACATAAAGAAGTATAAAAGGAGAATTCTCCAAAGCTAGTAGACTACAAATCACCGCCAAGATTTAATACTTCGCAAGCTGTGTCGCTGTGTCGCACCCCGAGATTTGTGTTATTGTAATAATATCTCTTCATGATACGTTTTTCACTCCTTGTAATTCATGAGTTGAAATTATATGTAGATTTTTTTTATTATGGTTTTAGCAGATAACAATTACTTGTGTTTTAACAAACTTTTTAGCTTGAATACTACATGATTTAGCAATATTAGAATGATATTGCCTAGTAATAGTTTTTATTCGTGATACAGACTATCCCCAGTTTGAATCTGGAGTGGTTCACGGGTAAGACATGTTTTAGTAACATGTTAAATATGCATAAAAAATATGAACAAAGTTAATCGTAAAATAACCAAATTAATTTTTTTTTTGTATACTGTACTTAGAAACTTCTTATGATTTTTAACAAGACTATTATTGTGAAGAGAGGGAATATTGTAAAGTAGGAATAATGATATAGTTATATAGTTATGTTTTACTACATTCAAAGATAGATGCCATATTATACTATTAAACATATCTTTTATTTTATATTGATTTTAATATTCAATAACATAAATTTTAAATGTTATAGATAGACATTCTACACCAACTGTCGTTTTTTTACCGAGAAATATAGTACATTTAATATTTGTATTTTATCACACGAAGTCTTTTATTATAATAGTTGTATTGTGTTTAGTTAGTATTTGACCTGAGTTACTCTGTAAAACTGTTAAATTCTACTGAGATACGCTCTGAAATAAAGACATATTTATTTATTTATTTATTCAAACGAAATAAATAATAATTTTATCGCGAATATTACTTTATTTGTAACCTTAAATATATAAAAATACGAACATGATTTGATATTCAGACTGCATATTAAAAAGTGTCAGAAAACCACGTGACGTTGGATATATCTCCGCTAATCGCAGCGAGCTGTCATGACTACACTGGCGCTGACGGCCTGTCACTGCATACGACATCTCACTAAGACATGTCATGGCTTACGTTCTGAATTTAATACAGACCAAGAATCATCTCAGAAATGTCTCGCTCTCAAACTAATCAAACTGTCCTCCTCAGGTCTCGTGTTCTTACTTTCTAACGAGTCTGTTCACGTTTGTTTCAGTTGGATGCCAAGAAGAGCCCGCTGGCGTTGTTGGCGCAGACCTGTAGCCAGATCGGCGCTGACTCTCCGGGGACCAAGTCTCTCCTAGCACCCTTGGACAAGTTGTCCAAGAAATCCGAGACTCCCAGAGAGAAGTCGTCCCCGTCGTCGGTGAGTAGCTCGCCCATCAACGTCAAGTCGAGCTTCAAACCCTACGACTCCACCGTCAAAGACCTGTCTCTTCCTGAAGACAAGAGTAGAGTCAAGACACCCATCAAAGCTTCCACGCCGGCTCAGAACGGAAGATGTAGCAGTAACCAAAGTGCGTCTTCTCCCAGAGAGTCGCCGTCGAATCGCAAAACCCCAGCGATGCAGGAACTACCGGCGACATCCAAGTCAGAATCTAGTCACAGAAACTCTCCCCCGGTCAAGACGTCGGAGTCGGGAGCGTTCAAGTCATCGTCGATACCCCCCATCACGTCTTCGGCGTTCCTACCAGGGTATCCCGGGTCTCTGCCACTGGACGTCATGGCCTCTAGTTTCCTCAACCACCCGCTCAAGGCGGGGCTTAACCCGTACCTGAGCTACGCGAGGATGAAGACCGCCTCCGGAGCAGACACGCTGGTCCCGGTGTGTAGAGACCCCTACTGCACGGGCTGTCAGCTGAGCAGTCACCTGCTATCTCCCGGTGGTTCGGGAAAGTGTCCCGCTGGGTGTGTCCAATGCGAGAAGACTCCCCCAGGGTTCCTTCCTCCGGGACATCACAGCTCAGCGGTCGCCGCGGCCTACGCCCACGCCCAGCTGGCCGCACTCGCCGCCGCCTCTCAACTGCCCTACGTCTGCTCCTGGATAGGCGGAGACGCAGCGTACTGCGGCAAACGATTCTCCAACTCTGAGGAACTCCTGCAGCACCTGCGGACGCACACCTCGGACTCGCTCCTCGCACCTTCACCGTCCAGTCACCACCTCCTGAACCGATCGTACCCCACACCTCCCCTCAGCCCCCTCGCCACCGCCAGGTACCATCCCTACGGCAAACCTCCTCTCCTGCCTCCGTCACTCTCCTCCGCCTTCCCTCTACCACCACATCCCGGCCTTCCTCCCTACTTCTCGCCATACTCCCTGTACGGCCCTCGCCTAGGAGCGTCCCATCCCTAGACGGGGATTCCTCTGTGATTCTAGTGATAGTGATGTGATCGCGCTTTGCGTTATTGTATATCGGACGATATCCGATTCTTGTAGGTGACTCGAATCGTCGCCTAAAACTCTATTTTTGTGTGTAAATATAAAACGCTCATTCTTTATAAACAGTTTAGTGTTAAAAATGAATTTTCCGTGTGGTTTCTTGGTGTCGGTCTTTTATTTCGGTTTTTATTTTCTGGTTCCTCACTTTTTCTTCATTTGATTTGACAGCTTAAAAACTTTGCACGGTTTTGTTTAAGTAATTGCATTTTCATTGTTATTTCACATTTCATATCTTGTGTAAAATATTAAAATTGTATATTTGTCAATATTTTTGAATGTTTGTAAGTCTAATTTATACGACTATAGCCAAAGGTCTGTTATATATGTCTATTAGTTTATTGTGTATTACTATTAGGGTTATAAATTGTTTAATGTTACCGCGGCTGTACAGTTCTGGAATATTTTCTTCTTTCAGTAACTATCAGAAGTCTTCACTTGTTGATGTTTTCTTTTCGGACAAGTCAGTCACATTGTATTTGTTAATTGTTTTATTAATAGTATTTCAACGATAATTTATTGAAATAAATATTACTGTGTGATCCTGAACTTGAGTATTCATTCTGTTCTCTGATTTCCAAATGCCATTACATACAATACTTACACATTTATAAATGATAACTTCTTTAAAACTTGCTTAACCTTAACAAGGTAATAAATCGTTTTTAGTCGCTCAAGCTATCAATATGTATGTATGGTCTTGCTAATGCTACAAAAATAGTTATACCGTAATGGGTCAAAAATGTATCAGTATTTCTTAAATATATCAAAATGATGATTATACTAAACACAAGATCTGTAAAAAATATATATATTAACAAAAAATATTTAACAGGAATTTTTCCTTCTATTCACGTTAATTTCATATTGTTTGTGCGGTCCATTTATTCCTATAGCTAGTTGCAGCACAAAATGAAAACAAAAACATTCTTCATTCTGTATTGTTATAGTGAAAGTTAGATGCATGTTATGGTTATAATAAATGTACAATAAAAATACTGAATATTATAGAAAATAAATCCAGCAGGTTCACTATAGCACGAACCGTGACCTCATAAAGCTATGGAATTAACCTCACAAGAAAGCACTCATGAAAAGTGAGGCAATTATAAAACCGCGAAAGGTGAATTGGCTGCCACAAGAACACGTTTAATTCTAGTTTATTATCCCGATTCTTCACAGGGTTGTATGGAATTGCAACCGCGAAGAATAGAATTACCCTGAGGAAGATGAAGGTATTACCCTGATAGCACCTTGGTAGTGGCCTAGTAATCACTGCTCAAGATTGCGATGAAACATCAGTCACGTCATGTAAAGTTTCAACTCTTGCTTCTTGTTTGGGATCAGCAATTGCTTCTGGATCTTATGGCTGGAAAGCTGAGTGGTTGGTCGCCGGTTCGATCCCGAGAAACATTAGAGAAGCTTTCTGATGACCCAGCTATCCTTCATCATTGGGCTTTAAATATATGGTTTTGGCTTATGAAGCAATTTGAGTCAGCTGGAGTCTTTTTGCACTTCATTCTACTCTCATCCTTCACTCATATTTGAGTTAAAATACACACTTAAGTGGTGTCCCTTCCAAATTGATAAGATTATAATCAAAATTTGATATATTATTAGTTCTCGTGATTGTATTTGATGTTTGATTTTATTTAGGTTTACAAAAGTTGAGTACAAATATGATTAAGGGCTATCGAGTTTTAAGGGAGTCTTTTTTCAGTATCTACTATGCCTTAGGGGGCTGTGCTTGTAACTTCAAGCGAAGTAAGGGTTAAATCTATACGGAATTGTACAGTGGAGGCGTCGGGTCACAAACCTGCGACATTGCTATTTAATTTTAAAATTATTACTCCCCCTACACGGACTTGGGATGGGGAGTGGTACTGTGGAGTTTCATTTAACATTAACAATTTATTTTATTATCTGAACACATTTACTTATATAGTATATCGTGTAAAGTGTAATATAATCAGGGTGAAAAATCTAATTTTATAAGCAATGATTTTTTTAATAGAAGCTTTTTGTGTAAACTATCAACATTTAGTAACGAACCCAAACTCATTTCCTAGAGGGACCAGATAAACACACGGGGTGAGAGACTAGAAGGTAAAAGGCTGGAGGATTTGCAACATTTCCAGGTCTAACACCTGGACCAAACGAATGTGTAGAGCAAAATTGTGGCGTACAATAAATCTAAGCCAAACTGCTCTGGGCCGGGTTTCCACCTCCAACCTCTGTTCTCAGAGCCGTCACCTCATGATGGATGTCCTCTCCAGTGGGGCGGCGTCATCAGATCTCCTCTGGCGGGGTCTTTGAAGTCCTCGGATAACAGAAGCCACATTGCGCCCAGCGGAAGCCAGATGCTGTTGACATTGGCGTTGAAAGATGTCTTACTTCATCTGGACGTTTATAGGCCTCATTTGAGCCTTGTTTTTGTCCGTGATGGCCTGGCTGAGTGTTGTGTCAGGAAGTTTTGGGTTTCAACATACATTAGTAGAGAATTGTTGACTATGAATGCTGATGTAGACTTTGCTGTTGCAGTTGTAGTATACGAGGGGATTTTGGGATTCAGTACTAACAATTGACATTTTACCACTGATGACGATAGCTTTGTGCCCATAAATTACAAGGAATGTGTATACAATTGTTTTTTTGTATTGACCATTAAAAGAAAAAAAAGTGCGTATTATCACAACTCTCTAATTTGATACTTAAAAAAACTTTAAGCATATAGCATATCAGTACTTAAGTATTTTAACATCGTTATAAAGTTTTAGTTTCTAGAATCTAGAGCTTAATATCATGTGGATTTATCCGAACAAACAATTTTCTTCCTGAAGAGACAGCAATTGTAAAACTGTTGGTTTTGGGGAGAAATCTTCATAAATTGGCAAGACTACTTAAGAATCCAAACATATCTCTTGATCAGAGCAAAATGGTTTGTTGTATGGTTTTGATTGGTTGTGTGTATACACCTGCTTAAGTGCAAGAAAATTGCCTTTAATTATGGACAACACTTTTTAACATGTGTTAGTTTGAAACTGTTCACTTAACTTTAATCGGGACGGATTGTTTTTACCAGCAACAATATAAAATACCAGTTTTGTAGGTTCTGACTTAAATCCTACAAAGATACTTCCAACGGTCCCAATATGTTGCCCTACACAACGCAGGCGAGCCGGCAACACCGCACCGGCGGCCATCTTGACACCAGGCCCACGTGACGTTAACAAGTTTGTAAATAAGAACAAATTGATTTAACGGACTGCAGCCATAATTATCCTGTCCATAAATACCGGGCTGGAACGTCTTGATCAGTCGCATGCGCTGCACGTCCGCGCAATCAACATGCAGCCGCCATCTTGATTATCATAATATGACAAAGGAGCCCGCTCGCTCATAAATAATTTCAGCTCTCACATTCTCTTTATGACCGGTTTCCTCTCCCATTAGACGTGCTCGCCGCATTTACGACCAAGACATTTATGAATCGTAAACTGATTCGGAATTACTTTTTTTATATCTGCATTAACTCGATAATATTTCAGTCCGCAAGCGACAAGCGTCACATTCCGCTTATGAATTTTAACAGCCGCATAGATTACGGTGATATGCTGACGTCACCACCCACCGCTGCTCGACTTTCCACCATTGTTCTGAAGCCAAAGTACTCCATTTGTTTGCAGTCGGTGATGTTCTGCTAGTTTACTGGCTGTATGATGTTCACCATATAATCCCTGGACCTTCCCAGTCGTGGTTGTGACTTGGTTTAATAATGTCTTTCAAATACCTGAACGTGTTTAAGCGTGTTAAAATATTGTTTTGTTTAACTATATTGTATGTTGTTCGACTGTAAGTTAATCTATGTACTAACACTACGTTACCGTTTAAGAATGGTCCTTCATCTTTAGGTCATATCCCTGACTGGGTGCTAAGAGAATCAGAAGGTTTTCAGAGACCGGGACTCGGTGCTGAGATGCGGCCTACACCCTCTATTTGTCAACACGAGTTTTATATAATATGTAAACAAATCAGTATCTTAATTTATCATTTTAAATCTTAAATATGTATTCAAAGATTTGTTCTAAAAGTCACTAACTTTCCTAGGTAATTTGTTAAAACTGGGAGTCATATAAAGCATCGGCATATATTTATTTACTGTCTTAATCGACCAAAACCATGAATTTGATTTATTTTAGAATTCTTACTTCAATTTAAGATGTATTTCACCAGTTGTAATTATATAATCATATTATAATTTTAGTCTAAGAGCTTTCAGTGAAATACCGGGTTTCATGTAAGCTATTTAGTTAATAAAATCGGACGAGTTTCAAGCAAACGCAATGTGAACCAACGCAAAAACAATTTTTATAAGGGTTTTCTTTGATTGAAAACCAATAGCTCCAGTATTGATTATGTTTTTTTATGTTTTAGACTCAAAATGATCAGTAAATTAAAGACTTTAATTTAGGCTTATGTTGAACCAGTTAGGTTCAAAATACTGCATTTCTCAATCAAAAACCGTAAATTTGATTATTAATTATATTTATTTCGACGCTGCGGGGCAGCATGGGTAGAAAAATACACTAGTTATTAAATATTATTTTAAAACATTATTCAGTGATGATTTGTTAAAAAATAATTTGTTCTGGTACCTCCTCAGGTATTAAAAAAAATCTGCGAGGTAAGCATAGGTTGACACACACACATCAAATTAAAGGTCTTTTTTAGAAAAATACAATGCCGCAACAAAAAACACTTATTTGTCTAGTACCGGTAATAATATGAAAAGTAAAATGGTACCAATACAATATTATGTTATCGCCAATTTAAAATATTTCTTTTGTTTACATACACGTAAAACCAGTTAAAAAGGTATAGCCTATTGAAAAATAATTAGAAAAATCTTTATCGTTTAATTTTTTTACAGAATTTTTTACAGAAAACCCAGGGTGTATTTAATAGCTTAGAGTATGGTATAGGCAAATCAAAAACTAAATATTCCATTATTCCTTAGAGAAATACCATAAAACAAATCTTAAACCGTTTAACCGTAAACAAAATTAAAACCATATTATAAAATTCATATTCGTAAATTAAAATCTTATCATAAAATGTATAATCGTAAATTTCCTTTATTTAAATTTTATTAGTTGTTGACACTTCAACACAAAACTTGTGATTTAGCAGTTTACTTTCACCTTATTTCATTTTATAATTTTAACTTTGCCGATTTCTTCTTTCAAATTACAAAATACTGTACAACTTTAACAGTATTACACCATCAAACTTGACTTGTGAAATTACACAGTGTGAATACCAGGTTTAGTGTGCACGTCACACATCAATACCCTGGCTTTTATATATTGACAAACTAAACACAAAAGCACAATATTCCGTACAAACAGGGCTGTCGGGGAATTGTCAGATGTCACGTGACAGCTGTCAGCGCATCGCTGCCTGTAATTCCATTTTCACAAGGGAAAGATACCTTCATACATTGGGTAATTTGTCATTCCGGCTGACACTAAAATACGTATAA